CATATCCTGAAGTAACATTAGTAGCTAGAACTGGCGGAAGAACCATTTCAATGGTCAGGGGTAGTTCCAAGTTCAGTTATAGTGACTTTGGCTGCAGTTCTGCGGGTGGAGTAGTTCTGGGGGCCTGCTTCTCCTATTAGTCTCTTTGTACAACCAGCAACTAGTTGCCAATCTCCGGAGATGGTACGTGATAAGATAAGGTAAGGTTATATCATAGAGGTACAGAATGATTGTGAAGACATTGTTCCCACCGAAGTTAGTACCGTTTCATATGACTTGGACACGTCTTCCCAGCGACCACCCTGATTGACTTCAAATCTTACCCACATAGACTGAACATGTATTTGATGTACTGCTAAAAAGGCACAAACATTTTATGCATCTTTACATATATATATATATATATGTATTAGTCTATGTATTTATGTATGTATGCATATATATTTACGTGTGTATGTATATTTGTATGTATTTATGTATATATAGGCATATATATGTATGAATGTATGTATGTATATGTATATATATATATATATATATATATATATATATATATATATATATATATGTATATATAGATATAGATATAGATATAGATATAGATATAGAGATATAGAGATAAATTATGTATTACTGTGAGGGACTATCAAGAGCCGAAATATCAAGATTAGGTATTTTGAAACTAACTGGGTCTCTGTGGATCCGATGACACCAAGTAACTGGATCCACCAAAGACAAGGCCAGGAGTGGGTGCCTTAAAGTGATGCCAGAGGAAGATCAAGTAAATGTCATTTAAAACAATAAATCAATGAAGGACAAATAGGAAGCTTGCTTGAAAGTGCACGAATATCCTGAGGTAATAAAAACATTTAAGACTCAGTGGCAACATCTGACAACTGACTGGTTTTGAGAATGGGGCATGGCCGGTTGTTAGTTGCCACATCCCCTTACTGTGAATCAGTTTCTTAGTTACTTATTTTTCAAAACCACTGCAAGGGGTGTGGCCTCTTTTGTTCTGCTGGCATCATCTGGCAGGACTTTCTCTGCAGTACGCTGACTGTTAAAAACTGCTGGGCTGTTTGAGTGGATGCATAGCAGTGGGGTTGGGGAGTTGAGGATGATGGGTCCGGGATATTTATGGGGTGTGCCAATTGGAAATCTTGAACGATATGTTTCTACCATTGGTAAAGGCGATGGTGTACCCAAACCAGAACCATTTTACTTCGTCCAGGATAACAGCCCCATCCATATGATCAGTGTCTTGAAGGCTTGATTTTGGCAAGATTATGCTGTGCCACATCCACCCAAATCACCAGAACTCAAGCCCATTGACAGTGTTTGACTTCCGCCAAGATCATGTCTGCAGCTGTAACATTGTCGTTGCCCGAGCAATTACTGTATGAGACCGTTAGTGGCATCCATACCATGTAGACTTGCCAGCATTAAAAGTATTAAAAGTATACATTTCAAAACCCTGCAAACTGTAGATGTAGTTGAGTGAAGTGAACAAAAAATTAGAATAATTAGCTGTTCTAAGGGCACTTTTAAGTTATAACCGGCTCTATATAGATGAAAATAATAAAAATGGGGGGGGGGCAGAATCTTGGGGGGTAACTGCCCTCCCAGCCCTCCCCTAAATGATGCCCCTGTCAAGGATACCAATATCAGGTTAAGCTTACAACACTTTTTTCCAACAATTTTCGTCATCATATCACATTGTTAAGTCAGAAAGAATAAAGATACTATTTTTAACGAGTGTATCTCTAAGGCTTTTTCATTGATGTCTGAGGACCCCATTTCTGACGTTTGACATTTCCAAAGGTGCCTCTTCTTTTCATCCAAAGGTGTCTTATCAGCCCTTCCATTGCTTCTTGACTCCTCGGTCTTTCAGTGGCGTATCTTCAGCCCTTTCCCAATTTCTGATTTCATGGGATATGTAAAGGCCAAAGCTCGTTGGTTAGATGTAGTTAACTGAAAATAAACAGGGAATACTGCTCAAAGAATAATCAGGAAATTTCTAAAAAAAAATAAATAAAAAATAGTTAACTGCTACTGTAAGCTTTTTGTTATCTCCTTTCCCACGATGGAGAGCTGGAGGGAGGGGTACAGGAAACAATACATGTAGAGGTAGGGAGCGAGGGAGAGGGTGAGAGAGATGAAGAGAGGAAGTGACTGAGAGGGAGAGACGGGGCACGGGCGACCTGGAAAGAGTCAGAAGAGGATGTAAATGTTGTGCATTAATTTTAGCATTTATAATTTTTCTCTCTTGTGCATTTTCTTTACAATGTTTACTCATAAATTCTTAGCCCTAGGTGGCACTGGAAGTCTTGGACATATTGTATCACTCTCTCTCGTCGTGGCATCGTCACGTTCATCCTTGCTCAATTTTGTATCGTTGAAAGGTGGTTTCCCTTACTTCAGCTGCCTTTGTGTTGGAATTTAGATGTCAACGAGGTGGTTTCTGATCGGTAATGCGACGGCAAACCACAGGCTCAAAGATGAGAATGATGCGTGGAGCTGAGGTATAGGCCAGGGAGGGCGACCAATCCAGTGATGACCATTGCCTCAATTCTGTTGAACAAACAGTATTTTTGAATATATGTATATATATATATATATATATATATATATATATATATATATATATACATACATATACATACATACATACATATATATATATGTATGTATGTTCTCTACATATACATGTATGTTATCTGTATGAGTATGTATTTAAACGTCAATATAATTACAGATGCAGACGTAATTATGTATTTATATCTATGTACACACAGTAAAGTATGTGCGAATCACTGTGACACTATGGACACTGAAAAGTATTACCGGACTTAACACACGGTAGCTCTGCTGCCAAATGCTTGCCATAGATCACTGGCCAGCATATTACACACAGTAGTAAAAACCTTTCTTGTAGCATCTCCGAAACTCTTAATACTTTGGTACATCCTATCACATGTTACCCTTTTACGTACTATTACTGGAACCTATTGAAACATCTCTGCCTTGATACAGTGATACACTCCTTCCAGCCAATCAGAGTGTGATACTTTGCAATACATAATTGTAGGAGCATATCATTTATATTTACATTAACCACAATTCCTATCGTATGCCTCTTGGTATGAAAATCATATATAAAGATGCATAAAATATTCACTCTGTATGGGTAAAATACGAAGTAAATAATTAGCGACATGGTAAAAATTTCAACCAATGGCATGTAACTGTTATTTTAGAAATATCTCCCTAATTTCTATCTCAAATCCAGCTCGAGTAGATTGGTTCAAAGGGGGTAATTGGGGAGTTCCAACAATTAGAACCTTGGAGAGATTTAAATTTAGATCTTGCATAAGATTCCTCATTCTCCTGCCATAGGAACGCCTGTCCTTAAGGGTGCTGAAAACCAATCTGAATGTAGGAGAGTCTGGAATCCTTTGTAGTCTCGGGTCGTAAATCAAATCCATGCATTCCTCACATCTATATTCAAGTTTAATATGAATTTGTGTTCGGTATAGCCGAAGTGCTGTGCGGTCTGCACCCCAAGATAGGTGTGAAAGAAAACGGGAAATACTAAGTGCTTTTGTAGCCTTCACTAGAAAGTGCTCACATATTATGTATGATCCAAGTATCTTAAGTCTTCCACAAAAACGACGATGTTTGTCTGACAATTCAAACAAAATAAGAGGACGTTTTAAGGTTTTTGAAATGTCTAAGTAGCAAGTCTGAGTGGCTGTCACTAACGCCGCCGGTAACTGGCGTCCGTTTGCAGAGCACAATTGTTCCCATGCTGTAATTGCTTAAGCAACGATGATATGGTGTTTGCGTCTCTGTCCATGGCCGCCCAAACATTCTCTATGAGATTGAAATCTGGCGATTTGGGTAGATGTGGTACAGCGTAGTCTCCTGGAAACCCTGTTTTTGATAGTCTGCATGCTGCAGCATAAGTCCCGCCGGCAGAACAGAAAAAATCCCTCTACTGACAAAAGATGCAGAAATTTCCATAGTTTGTCTTTATGAAGCAAAAAAAAATATTGTTTGATTTTTATGAAAAAATGTTGACCGAGTTTCAAAACGTAACCCAAATTCCCTCTTTTATATCTACTTAATTCAACATTTATTTCATGAAAATGTAGCATAGAGCTGCAAGGTAGCAAACAGAAAACTTATAAGAGGACCATGCAATATGAGCCTATTACGACACTAGAAAGTGTCGCTTCCTGTATATGTATATATCTATATCTATCTATGTATCTATCTATTTATCTATATATATATAAAACAATCCCCCCTGACCAGGCCTCGAACCTTGGTCACTCCGGGTATGAGAAAGGCCAGTATTAAATCAATCATGGGTCGCGTGGCATGGTTGGTTTAGTACTGGCCCTACGGTCTCATACCCGGAGTGACCTAGGTTCGAGGCCTGGTCAGGGAGGATTGTTAAATATCTATATCAACGCTGCATTGTTTTACTCCATCTTTCGTATATATATATATATATATATATATATATATATATATATATATATATATACATGTATATATGCATATGTACATGTATATATATATATATATATATATATATATATATATATATATATATATATATATATATATATATATATACATATTCATATACATATACATATACATATACGTATATGCACACAGAGATGCAAATACATTTAGCCTAGCACTAGGTGCAATAATATCCTCATTATCAGCTTCATCGTTAGTGAATAATACATAATACAGTGCAGCATCAAATTTGAGCTTCCCATTTTCTTACAGTTTCAAACCGGGCAGAGGCGCACTGCACTGCAACAGTTCGCAGCAAAATACTTGTCATAAGAGTCTCATTTTCACAATGCCTCACACAGGAGCCACAGACGGTAACACCACCATACCATAACATCCAACAGGATAGCAGTACAACCTCTGAAAGCAGCCGCTTTTTGACCGCATCCTCTCTTTTCCACAGG